ACTAAGGCCCTAAGTCAGGAGTAATATGGTGAGTCCAAAGGACTAGAAGAACAAGTGGGGAACTGGGCTCCCTGACCTATCTGTGCAAAACAACGGAATCTAACAAGATTCTACTGAAATATTCCCACAAAAAAATGAAACTATTACTTCACACCAACAACAAAATCTTTGATGCTTTTAAATGCATCTAAATCATACCTTAAACCATACCTTGACATGAGCTCTGATGATACAATATATTTACATGCACTTCAGGTTTTAGAGGTTTTGGAATTTGGGTCTCAGCTGAAGGATTCTGCAGACAAAACAGASCTACTTTTGCCTTGTCATCCTAACTGTGCATACACTTAAGTGCTCCCTTGACTGTCAACTTGCCAGGGCACAGACATCAAGTCTAGCTTGCACACTTCAAATCTCACTCTCTGAAATAGGCCAGATTACAAAAATAGCAAAACCCAGAAGACTGGGTGGGAGCATTCCAAACAGGATCAAACTAAACCAAATGACAAATTGTCATTATTCAGGTCTTTACTTTATTCCTTAGAATTATTTAAATAATGCTCTCTAGTGTCTCTTCCTTATCTAGATAGAAGTCTCAGACCTGCATCTTGGACTATTATGGCATAGCTATTGCAATGRCTACCAAATAAATTACCAGTCCACACCTCTTTCCTGCATAAGGCTCCCCTTTACATGGTTTCAGCAAAAACGGCCATCTTTGTATAACAGCCCTGTCACTCACCYCCTTCCCCAGCATTCAGATTTCAGACTGTGGTTTTTAGCCTTCTTGCTCTTTCTAATGAAACTCTGAAGCTACTGGCATTTTGATTTTCTGTTATATGGAGTAGAAACGGAAAAGCAAGAATATAGCGGAGAAGAGTATGACAGGGATGACAAATRTGAAAGACTTTGAAGGTTCTTGATAGCACTCCAAGCTCAGGGACTCAGTCTAATCCTGAAGCTCACTGGCTTTCCTGCCCTTGGAGATAATTAAGATAACTATGCATCTTCAGCATACATTCCCCTCGGSTGAAGTGATCCTGCAGGGATTTCTGTTATGCACAAACAACAGTCCTAACCACACGATCACAAGAACCTTAATAAATATACCCAAGCCTTTTCTTCTCATCTTTTCATTATCGGCACTGTTCCTTCTTGAAGTTTGAAAAACCACTTTCTATTGCTGCTCAGCCAGCTGCCTCACCTTATTCTTTAAATTAGACTATTTGCAGATGTCCTTATATACCATCTTGTTTCAAAAAAGACCTGAGTCTGATWTTGAATTTAACATAATTCTCATAGTTTCCTACATAAGGGAAATAAATTGTGAATAAGTGAAGGGAAATTAAAGCCTTCTTCAAATAAACAAAGAGATAAATATCCACTCAGTATTTCAGCATGGGGAACTGCCCTGAAAACTTTAACAATTTCTTCCATCAAAAAAAAAAAAAAAAAAGCCATACATAGGGGTTGGAGTTGTGGCTCAGCTTTAGTGTGCTCTCCTAGTGTGATAGTAGAAGCAAATGTGACTCCATTTTGTTTTATGACTTCATCCTGTAAAACAACCATGCCAAGTAGAAGGGTCATGACTGGGGTAAGATATTCTTTTCCTTTTGCTATAGAAACCTTTAAGAACACAGAACTACCTAATGGGGCATTGTTTATGTAACTAGGGTAAAGGGCTCTGTTTTTGTAACTGGGGTGACTGGGCTAACTGTGATTGGTTAGGCTTCCTGCCGCTTGACTGCACTCTCCTGCTTCTGTAACTTGGCTTGCTTGCATTGGCTAGATCCCCGAATATCCCTTTTGCAGTTTTCAGGCTTATAAGGAGCGCCCTTGCAATTGTTCAGGGCTGATCAGGGGAACAGCCTTATGTTCTGGTCAGCCGCCACCGGTGTGCTTCAATAAAGGCGTGATTCAATTTATACCTGAGTGGTCTGGAAGTCAGTTTATGAAACCCCGGGACGAAGCTTTATAACACTAGCACGTGCAAGGCACTGGGTTCACTCCTYGGCACCACATAAAAATAAATAAATAAAATAATGGTATTGTGTCCAACTGCAACTAAAGCAAACAACAACAACAAAAACCCACAAAAGGCCATATATTCCCAGAGTAAAAACAACAGTGGGTGCAGAAGAGATCTAAAGCCCTTATTCCCTTCTCCTTATGAAAGGTTAATAAAATAGGTACTTGTCACTCCATTTCTCTATATGCTTAACAAAACACTATTGAAATCTTAAGAACTGTTTGCTAATCTTGTTCCCAGAATGTGCTGTCCCCAACTGTGGACTGTCTGCTAATCTTGTTCCCAGAATGAGCTGTCCCCAACTGCCAAACTACAAAATGTAACTTCTCTCCCTGCCCTCTCCAAGGAAAGTATATAAGCTCCGCTTAAGCTGTTCTCAGGGCTCTATCTCTCTTTGCTATAGAGAGCTCTGGGCCCCAGCATGCTGGTCTCCAAATAAACCCACCCTTCTGCTGTCGCATAAGACAGGCTCTTGTGGTCTCTTTCTCCGACGTTTCRCMGGACCCTAACATTTAGAGCACCTACTCCTACTCTCCAGAGGTTAATGTCAAACATACACATAATCTCCACATAAAAGACTATATACATGTTATTGTCACTTAATTTGCTGTGTGGTTYCACTTGTAAAACAGCAATAATTCTAACTTCATAGGACTGATGTAAGTATTAAATAAGTTAATATAAAATGCACAGAGTGTGCTGAGGTTGTGGCTCAATGGTAGAGTACTTGCCTAGCATGCATGAGGCACTGGGTTCAATCCTCAGCACCACATAAAAATAGAGATATTATGTCCACCTAAAACATTTTAAAAAATAAAATGCTGAGTCTAGAACAGGATCTATTACTATTGTTGGAAAGTAAATTCTTACAAGTAGGATTAATGAATCAGGGGATGTAAACACTTTAAATTCTAATCAATGTCATACTACCTCCAAAGAGACTGTACCAATTACATACCCACCAACTGTATATGTAAGTGCCTATTTTCCTACACTATTATWAGAGTAAACACATTTTCAGTCACTGGAGGTATGTTAGATTTTTCCATGTTAATGCAAGCACAGGTTCCTACAAACACAAAATTWGAAAAATAGCAAACGTTTTTCCAAATGAAAAGTGGTAAGATGGTMATTACAAGGCAAGCAGCCAAAGTAAAGAGCTGATCTGATTGGGAAGATGTGTCATATGCCCACACCAGTCTTATCCCTAACCCTGCATCCACACTTCTCTGAATCTTCTTTTCCATGCTCAATCTGACTTGTGCTTACCTCTTAGACTTTATTTCCCATTCCTCTTTATTATGATTCAGCCATCCTTGCTGCCTTTCTGCCCSCCAACCATGAGGAAATGTTTTTTTTTCTAAATAAATAAAATAGGAAGTCACGGGAGTATTCTGAGCAAAAGAATGAGAACAGACCTACAAGATCTCCAGTTGTAAGCAGATAGTCCATAAAGGAACAAGAATGGAAAAGGCAAGTCAGTTATTATATTACAGTAGTCCAGGCAAGATATGATGGCAGTGTGGACCAAGATGGTTACAAAATCAATGAGAAGTGTCCGGACACTGAAGAATTTACTGATAGACTGGATGTGGAATGAGGAAAGACAGGAGATTTGAGTTAACTGCTAGATTTGATGTGTGAGAAACTGGTCAATTTAGGGCCATTTACAGAATGCTGAAGATTAGGTGAGTGAGGCATGAATTACGAACTATGATAGTTAAGTTTGATGCACCTGCTTAGACATTCAGTAGTCTTACTCATTATTCACTCAACGAATAAATGTCTATAATATTGGGCACTAGGAAAGGAACCCAGTTCTGAGTTCATAAGGCTAAACCATCTGACCGGGTCAGCTGTCCCAAAAAGGCAGAAAATGGCCTGGCGCGGTGGTACACGCCTGTAATCCCAGCGGCTGGGGAGGCTGAGACAGTAGGATAATGGGTTCAAAGCCAGCCTCGGCGACATSCAGGCACTAAGCAACTCAGTGAGACCCTGTCTCTAAATAAAATACAAAATAGGGCTGGGGATGTGGCTCAGTGGTTGAGTGCCCCTGAGTTCAATCCCCAGTACCAAAAAAAAAAAAAAAAAAAAAAAAAAAAAAAAAAAAAAAAAAAAGAAAGAAAGAAAGAAAAGAAAAAGAACCAAAGAGGCAGAAAATGCCGCTCAGTCGAGCTCTGAACACGAAGGAGAAGTGCACGACTAAGAGCCTCTGAAAAGACTGGAACAACAGCGCGGGAAGTTCAAGGACCCCAGAGGGGGCGGACGCAGGGGAGAGGCGGCTAAGCGGCGAGGAGGAGCTCGGAACCGTCGCCACGACGGCGGCGTAGGAAGGGCTGGACTGGAACTCCACAAGCACCTGGCCCCCGTTTCTGCCTGCGGAGCCGAGGGACAGGGACGTCACCAGTCCACGCAGCTCACACGCTCTTCACCCTGCTCTGGTGGGCAGGGAGTTTTTAAACACGGGGGTCGCKCGTGCTTCTCACCTCGTCAAGGACCTCGTCGTCTTCGTCCTCTTCTTCGTCACTATCCTCATCGTCTTCGTCTTCATCYTCGACTTCATCCTCCCCTTCTTCTTCGTCGTGCCGGACGGGGTCTCCGGGAGGCCGCGGGGCTCCGTTCCCCAAGGCCCGTCGTTTGGCCCGGGACGCCATGCTGCCGTCCACACTGCGCCTGCGCAGGACCTACGGCCCGCCCTTCCGGGCCGACACCTACTGGCCGAGGGGGGGGGGACCACGAAGCCCCTCGGCGCTAACTGGACCTGTATGAACACCAGAGACCCTTCTGGACTCACAGCCGTGATCTTCCGGAGTCACATCCATCATAAATCCCAGCCTGGCCCTTTATTTCTCATTCGTCCTCCCTCCCTCATCAGTCCCTCCAAGGCTACCCCTGTCGCGCAGTGGTTCGACCCATCGGGCCGGTTTCCTTCCGCCGGCCTGGACGCCGGTGCGCACGCGCGGCCGCTCACCTGGGCGCTGCGGAGGACCGGGGGCTGGTGCGGAGGTGTTGAGTTCCCTGGGGCGCCCACTCTGTTGCCAGTCTCCCTGAGCCCCTTCGCTGGGACCGCGGGGTCCCGCCTCCCACCGGTGTGGGCCGAGTGCGGCGCGTGGCGCTGGGCGGGCTCCCGCTTCTTAGCCCTGGGGCCTCGCGGGGCCCGCGAGGTAGGTGTCGCTGCCCAGGGTGCCAAGGAAGACACGGGCATGCGGGCCTTAGCGATGTGGGGCCGGCCGGCCAGGCTCCTGGAAGCCCTCTGAGAGCAGGCTAGGCCACCTTCCGTGCCTCGGCGCCGGTCACGTGGTCCGCATGGACGGCCTGAGCCTGTGACAAACCGGAGAGGTACCCCTCAGCGGCCGCCAGTGCGCAGGTGGAAGTACTGGTCCGGGTTGTCCCGTGTCCAGTTCGAGARAAGCTGGAGCTCCGGACGTTTACAAGAAATAAGATCGTTAAAGCCAATCGTGAAAATGAGAGGGAGACCAATAAAGAGGAAGGGGACCAGGGTGGGCAGGGAAAGGAGAAATACTGGCGATGTKGTTGACCGAATTATATTGCTATTTCGTGTGCACGTGTGAACATGTAACAACAAACCCCACTATTATGCATAACTACAATGGACCGATAAAATATTGGAATCCAAATTCATTAAAAAGAAAAAAACACTCCCAAATAAATTGCGTCCACCAGTCAGGATTACCGCTCAGGGTAGCAATTTTCAGGTCCTTATAAAGGCTATATGAAAGAAGAACTTTAATTAGGGAAGCCATCAGCTTTTTGAGAATGAGATATATGGTTATCCATTTTGTTATACTGAAAACGAATGCCAGATGTGTTTCGAAAAACAGAATGAGCTGTCCTTAGAAGTAAGGTGGTCATTGTGTAAGAGGTTTATGTAGAAGCATGGGAACTTCTTGTCAGTGGTTCTTCAGTAAAAGTCAGTATACCCTAAAGGTCTCCATTAGTTCAGAGTCCTCATGATGGTGCCCACCAGGCCATGTGATGAATGTTAATATACTTAAAAATTAGGGCTGCACATCTGACKGAGTAGCTTGAAGTGGCCCGATTGGGCCACACAGTTGTGCCAGAATTCTATAATGTGCACCTTTCAAAAAGGCTAAGATTAGAAAAGAGACTTAGAATAATACACCATGCAAACATGACAATAGTGTGACACTGAGACATTATGGGTAATTTCCCTGCTTGGTTTTGTTGTTGTTGTTGTTGTTGTTGTTGTTTGTTTTTGCATTGCTCCGTATTGAACCCAGTATGACCTTGTACATGATAGGCAAGCACTCTACCCACTGAGCTACACCCCCCAGTCCTCTTTGTATTGTTTTTAATTGGAATCATATAGTAGTCTTCGTGTGTCAGTATTTCCTTCCTTATTATGACTGAATAATAAAACATCGCATTGTGTGTATATATTACATTTTGTTTGTCAACTGACAGTTGATGGACACCATTTTAGTTATTTAAATAATTCTGCTATGAACATGAGTATAAAACCATCTCCTCAAGCTCCTACTTTCAATTCTTTGGGGGTATGTAACAACTGATGGATCATATGGTTTGTTAATTTTTTTGAGAAACTTTGCTTTTGTGTGTGTGCAAAACTTTCACAATGAGTTCCTAAGAGAAGAGAGTAACAGTCTTTCTTTGGGCCCCCAGATTGGTTCCTAATCTCAAAATCATGGTCAGAATATGAATTAGAGTAGCAAATGTGAATAAATGGCTCACCTATGGTTTTGGTAGTCAAGAAAAATATATTACAGATCCCAGGGGACATCCTTAGTTAGAGAATGGATTGATTACCACTGTCTCAATCTTTCTATTTAGTACAGAATTTGCCTTAAAAGAGTAGAAAGGCAATCTAGAGTGATTAGCTTCAGGCTTGGATTCAGACTGTCATTTACAATCTGTGTGATCATGGACAAGTGCCTCAAACTTTGCAGAGCCTTTTTCTTCTGTCCTTTAGTATATGGATGATGATATCTACATTGCAGACTTAAATGAGGATTTTAGTCTTGCATGTAAAATGCTTATTAGCCCAGTATGATAGCTAATAAGTTAATTTTATGTGTCAGCTGGACTTGATGAAGGGATGCCCAGATATATTAGATTATTTCAATGTGAGTCTGTGAGGGAATTTTTATAAGATTAGTGTTTGAATCCACTGACTGAGTAAAGTGCTTTGTTCTTCCCAAAGTGGGTGGGCCTACTCCATTGAGGGCCTGAATAGAAAATAAAAGGAGAAGGAGAATTTGCCTCTGTCCTTCATCTGCCCTTGGTGCTCCTGGTTCCCAGGCCTTCAGACTTGGACTGGAAACTACTCCATCAGTCCTTCATACTACACCACTAGCTTTCTTGAGTCTCTAGACCAAGGATTCTCTTTAAAAAAAAAAAAAAAAAAAATTATTGAGCTGCTACAGATGCTAGCCAGAAAGGGACCGAATCCTGGATGAGTGCCACAGTTAACCACAGCAAGGCTAGGTAGCAACCGGAAAAAATATCCACAAAAGCCCAAAACACTTTTATAATGAAGATTTGGGGAACGAAATCATAAAGTTGTTTCCAGTGAATTTATGTTGGCTATAAATAAAAGGGGTGGGAATCACATGAAGTGAGAAAGGAAATGTGGGATAGGAGGGCATTCCATAAGGAAAAGTTCTTGTTAACTTCTGGATTGGTTGGGGTTAGTAGTCCAGAAAGTCTATCCAGAAACCAGAGAGGTTGGTGGTGCCTGGGGTCAGCTCCCAGAGGTTTTAACTCAAGTTTTTGACATAATTCAGGAATGTAGAACATCTGTTGAATTGGGTCACTTTAAGACATCTCAAAATTTTTCTTTTCACTCTTGCAAGTAACAATTTGTGGGACTCCTCAGCCTCTGTAATCACATGAGCAAGTTTCTCCTACATTTCTTTGTAGATACAGATATATCCTGTTGGTTTTGTTTCTCTGCAGAACCCTCATAGTAAATAACACTAAGTACTCAATAAAGGGCAGCTGTTGTTACTGCTGATACAAAGAGCAGCAGGACACACAAAGTGTTTGGGGCTTCGTTCTTAACCAGTGAAACCATCTTAATTCAGTCACTTTCCTATTTCTTTAAGCAACCATTTCTTGTTTCAGAAATGCTGGGTAAAGTTAAAAGTGTTTTCCCACAGTGTGAAAAAGTATTGAGCATCTACTGTAGGAAAGAAGGGCCCTCAGAAAATCCAGCCACTGAGAATCCCAATTTCATAGATGAAGGAACTAAAAGAAGAACAGCCTGAGCTGGGCTCAGTGGCACAGAGCTGGAATCTCAGTGCTCAGGAGGCTAAGGCAGGAGAGTTCCAAGTTTGAGGTCAGCATTGGCAGCTTAGCAAGACTAGAGTCTGAAAATGAATTTTTTTAAATAAAAGGGACTGGGATGTAGCTTAGTGGTAGAGCACTCGTGAGTTCAATCCCTAGTACTAAAAGGGAAAAAAAAAGGCAGCCTAGACCAGAACCCAAGCCTCAGCCCTCGTGGGAAAGCTCCTCCTCCACTGCCCTCTTCCTCAAGTTCAGAGTGCAGCCTGTTTATTCACCTGACAACATGTGCTTATCCTGGAYTTCTCAGCCTACTTATGGGACTCCAGCACAGCAGAGCATCACCAGCAACAGGTCCCCTTAATTTTATACTGGAGTGGCAGGAGAGGGATAAGGGTAGTAATTTGATTTCTATTTGTTGAGTCTTACAGCACATGTGAGGAATAGTTACTATCTGAAAGCCCAAGCTTCTTGCTAACATGGTTTTATCCTAAGAAAATCAGAAGAGAACTCAGAAGGAGTATTTTTCTGCTAGCAGTGGATAAATTGATTTGGCTTTCACATGTTTTATAGTTAAATGAAGTACTTGGTACTATAGTGATAACTTTATATCTTCATACCTTTGTCTTTCCTAAACATTTTCATTTGCCAAGTTTATAAGAGGCAGATACAGCAGGGGAGTTAAAACACAGAATTTGGGGTATGACCCCCAGCTGCCACTTAGCCATTCTGAAACAGGACAAGTGTACCTCAGCTTCTGCATAAACCTCATCGATTGAATGCATGTAAAGCCTGGCATGTGCAACAAATGTGCTAGCTGTCTCAGCAGTCCTGTGGCTAGAGCAGAGGTTATTCCAGCTTAACACAGGAGAAAACATGGTCAAACCATGGTAAGTCATAAAGCAGGGACCAGAGCCCATGTCCCTTAGTCCTTAATCCTATGCTTGTTCTGTGACACCATGATTCCCTCCTTACACTATTTCCATAAGGAAACAGGAAGAGGGCTGAGGGTGAGCACAGTGGCAGAGGTACGCCTAGTATACTAGATGCCCAGGGCTCAATCCTCAGCACTGTAAAAAAATAAAAGACTGCGGGTATAGCTCAGTGGTAGAGCTCTTGCCCATGGAAAGCCTTTGGTGATGTACTGTATCTCCAATATACCTTCACAGCAACACCTAGATTAACACTTGTAAATAACCAGAAACTATAACTAGCTAAGGTGACATATAAAAGAGACCGTCACAGAAAACTGGGCTCTGAATTTCTGTCAGACACATTTTGAGAACTTGAGGAAATACTGCCCATTTCCTTAAATCCCCAATCTTAACACCTGGACAGCAACAATAATTAGAACTTGATTTCATAATAATATATTCACCTAGGTTTGGTTGCTTAAACACAAAGCAATTCATTTTGAACCAAATTTTCCCAAAATGTCCTGTAAATAGTCCAATATTCCAGTAATATAATTAGTAGTCATTTATAATTAGTGGCTCTCAGAGTTAACACACTTCTACTTCACACAGTGTACTCTATTCAGTCTCACCAATCACTGCACAACATTTAAGGAACTCGTGGGTCTAGTGTTATTTGTGGGATGATGAAATCTTTGTTAAACAATCTATCTTTGTACACATTTATGAGTATCGTCTGGGTTTATCTTCTTAGAAATTAAATTACAGGAAGAAAGATTATGAAGTCTGTAAGACTTTAAATGTCTACAAATAATTCTTCAGGCTGCTAAATTATCTCCTTATACTTGACAACATTTATAAACATCATTTGAGAAGTGCAAAAGCTAATGCAGTCATTTCCTAAAGTACTTATAAGCTGCATAGTATATTTGTCTTGAAATGGAAATAATTATGAATTTACCTTCATAAATGTAAGATGCTCATTTCTCTATTTGTTATAGATACACCCCAGAGTTTGCATTTTTTTATGGTGAGCCACTGACATGGGACACTTGACTTTCACTGATGGCTTTCATCTGCCTTTGCAAGTGATATCAACTGCTAACATGCCCTCCCTTGGCCTTATCAGTGACAGGGGTCTTCAGAAAGAGCAAGCCCATTAATGCCAAGTCACTGTGTGGGCAGAACAGATCTCTCCAGTGAGCAGTTAATCACCTCCTTTTCATGCTGCCCCCATCTAGTCTTGCTTAGGGAAATTCTTTGAGATCCAATTAAGATCTCTTCCCTTACTTTGTCATAGTGCCCATAAGGAGCACCAGGCAATAATGAAGGTTCTTTTACTGAAAGATGCAAAGGAGGACGATTGTGGCCAGGATCCATACATCAGGGTAAGTGGCCCAAGATTCATTGTCCCTTAAACTGGAGATTTCTTGCTAAAGGAATCAAGGGCCTGGAGCTGGGRTGGTGGAGGGGAGCTGCTAACACTCATACTTGACACAGAATAAAGTTAATGATACTATCCATTCCCTTTATTTGCAGAATAGCCCCTGCCAATCCAGAACTATTTTTTCATTTGCAGGAATTAGCATTGTATGGACTTGAAGCCACATTGATCCCTGTTTTATCCTTTGAGTTTTTATCTCTTCCAAGTTTTTCTGAGAAGGTAAGACTTGTCTTGTCTGAACTCCCTGTTAGTGTTTGGTCTCTAGAAACTGGCCAGCCYGAGCCATTTTCCTAGCCCCTTATTCTACCACCAGATTTGAACACAAGGACGGCACACCGGGCTCCAGGAGGCTTCGTCCTGGGCTTCTCTCACCAAGCCTCCCCTGGCTCCTCTAGGAAGCCACCCATAACCAGAGGTAGACCAGGAAGAACAGGGCCTATGAGAGCACCATACCTTTGTGGTTCTCAGAATTCTAGAATCTTCTGTTCATATTCTCCCCTGAAAGACCTCTACATAGCAGACCAGACAGGTATTTTCCCCATTTTAGAGAATGAGACCTCCGGCCAGCCAAAGATAGACCTAGAACTCAAACCCAGGGCTCTGTCTACCACTTCAGCTTTGCTTCCAAGTGTAGGAGTAATAAATGTTGCAGGAGACATACCCAGTAAAAGTCTTCCAGATGCTTCAGATTAAAGCCTTTAGGCTGGAGATGTAGTTCAATGGTAGAGGGATAGCATGTACAAGGCCCTCAGGTTGATGCCCAGCACTACAAAAGACATAACAACAGGTTCAGTACCCACAATTTGAGTGATACCAGATCTGTACAACAGCCCAGTGCCTGCCTCGGAGTTAACTTTTAGTGCATTATATCACCATTACTAGTTTTGAAATTTAGGTCTTCAGTATAGGCATCACCTCCTGAATATTGCAGTTGCATTAAGACACAGATCAAGTCTGCCCTCTTCCTGCACCTCAGCCATTCCCAGGCTGGGTCCTGCCCCCTCTGCTACAATCTCCTGGGTTGCACTTGTCTGTCTCCTATACTGTGAGCTTCTTGAGGGAAGTACTATGGTAATTCACCTGTACATCCTAAAAGGCCTAAAATAGTTCCAGGCCCAGAGTGAGCCCTCAGTAAGTGTTGGGGGTGGTGGATGGGTGAAAAGAATTAGCTTATCTGCTACTTCTGGGAAGCATTTAGAATTCTGGGTCACATAGCTTCATAGGAGATGTTGAACTTAAGCTATCATATAAAATGCCTTTATTGCTTTCTGATATGCAGCTGTCTCATCCAGAATGTTACGGGGGACTCATTTTTACCAGCCCTAGAGCAGTGGAAGCAGTGGAATTATGTTTGAAGAAAGACAATAAAACTGAAGGTGAGGGTGGGTCTGATCTGGATTCCACCGGGCTTTTATTTACTGTTTCTCCCACTGAGACACTAAAGACAGAAGTAGCTGAGCCCTGACAGAGATGTGTGCAAGGTGGTGCTGGGTCCCAAATGTTTCTTGGAAGGCAGCAGACAGGGTGCCTCCGCAGCTTGCTGGGCATTTCTATCTCCTCAGAACATATGAATGCCAATTTCTTCCTCTGAAAATATGATAAATACCACTTTTCTCAAAGGAATGATGAGAAAACTTGGCAATGTATGAGAAAATCTTCAATGCCCTGTCAGGCCCTTGATGACAGGCCATCTCCTTGACCCTTCTCCCTTTCTCCTTCCCTTTCTTTGGATCAATAGTATAAAAAGGCACAGCCCTTTCACTGAATGCTGGGGTGCAGACTGAACAGCCACCTTATTCATAACTGCTGCTGAACAACCTCCTAGCTAACATGTATGGAGTGCCTGTTGTGCATCAGGCTCTGTGTAAAATACTTCAATTCATTATCTCATTGAACCCCAGACAACAACCCAAGGCATACAATACCACAGTCTCACTTTAGAGCTCACAATGCAGAGACTTGGGAGAGTGACAGCAGGGAGAGTGGTTGGCCCAGAGCTTTGGAGTGCAGTCATCCTGAGCTTGGTGAGCTCCTTGACCTCTCTGCTTGTCAGGTCCCTTGCCTTTGAGCAGGCCTAGTAGTCCTCGCACCACAGTAGTACTCTTCTACTCACTAGCTGGAACTTACCACTTTGTGCCACTTGCTGTCCTTGGTCTTTACCCTGTGAGGTGGATTGGTAGTTCTACTTGAAAGATGAGGAACCTGAAGAACAAGGAATGCAGTGCACAGTCTTAAGTTGCATGTTTGTGACTCTTGCAAGAGTCCAAGTCCCAGAGAAGGCATCCAGGAGGTTGCCTGGAATAGTCATCATGAGTCATGTGGTAATGGATTGTCATTGTCTCCACAAGCTGGGCTTGCTGCAGACCTGTACACATATGGGCCTCCTGCTGAAGAGAGAGCCTGTCACTGCCCCCAGTAGGGTTTGGGGTGCCTTGTCCTACAGTTGTATTTTTCCATTTGTATGTGCTTAGAAGGAGAAAGTTATAAGAAAGGAGAAAACCCCAGAGTCCTGCAACTTTGTCATGCTTTGCAGTTTAAAAAGCATTTCCCATACATGTTTTTATTTTGATTCTCATGACAAGGGTATGTGATAGGAGCGATAACATTAACTAGCCAGGGGTCCACAGCTGCTGAAGGGGCAGAGCTGGCTCTGCAGCGAGGCTCCTCTATCCATCAGTGTGCTCACTCCATCACTGTTCTGCTGCAAACCTCAAGAAGCACTTTGTTACCCTGCTATGGATAATTTCCCAATAAATATTACTTACACTTGTAGGGTAGGAAAAAAGGTAAAATTCAATTTTGAGTTTTGTTTAAAAAGGAATTTCCTTTGGGATATAAAAAGTAAATTCACCATAACACTGGTGAATTTAGGGGAAAATTATGCTCTTACTAGATTTTAGGACAAAAAAAAAMCTATTATTTGTCTTCTTAAAATGTTTTGAAACCACAGTGGCCATATAATATGTATATATACGATCCATTTTCTTTTTGTATGTCCTTAATCCATTTTTAAAAGATCTTTCCTTGTCATAAAATGGTAATTTACTGTAATTTTATATTGTGTTTATTAATGAAAGTGAAATTTATTATTTCTACTTTGAACCATGGGTAAATGAACCCTTTCATTTGAGATTATATTTTGTTGATCACTTTCAAATTTATTTCCCAAATAAAACATAACTATTGATTTATTAGACATTTAAGTCTAACAATAATGTCATTTTTTAATGACCAGTACGTTTTCTTTAAAAGTCTAGATTTTTTTAAATTTTAATCTCACCATGCAAATTGATTCTTTAAGTTATGTTTATTTTCTAGTACATGTTAAAAAATGCTTCTGTGCCAATTGTGGAAATTGTTATTTCAAGCAGTCATATTGAAACATTTACCTAAGTGATTTTTAAAACACCCTGCAGACTATGAACAACAGGAAAATGGAATTTTAGCTTGAGATGCTGTTCTTTCACATTTGGTTATTAATAGTTTGCTTTGCTCATGAGTTTCTTCCGGTGAACAAACAACCTTGGGCAGCAATCCAAAACTTAAGCAACCTTGGGCAGCAATCCAAAACTTTGGTACTTACAAATCAAATTTAATTTAATATTTTGCAGTCTGGGAAAAGTCTCTGAAAGAAAAATGGAATGCCAAGTCAGTGTATGTGGTTGGAAATGCTACCGCTTCTCTAGGTAAGGAAGTCAGATAAAAATAAGGTGCCCCAAATGGTTTAGCCTTCTTTATTTTTGTAAAATACATCAATTCAGTTTTTAAATGTTTTTATTTACAAAATTTGCACAAAGTTATTAATTAGTTAAGTATTTAATGCTACTGATAGGGTGCAGTGAAATAAATATATTAAAACATTCCTAAGTGACATTAAAAACTGGTACATCTTTTAAGAAATTCTTGATCAGTACATATTCAAAAGTTTCATTTAAATATTCGTAAACTTTGACCCATGAATTCCATTGTGAATGTACTCAATGCCAATGAATTATTCTTTGAAGAAATGGCTAAAATAGTAATCTCCATGTAGTGGTTTATTAGTTCTCTAACACACATAGAGTGAATTGTTGAGAGTTAATATTATAACACTTTAAATATTTAGAACAATGCTGACCAGAAGCAAATAAATTAACCTATAACTTAGCTTCAAAATAGTTCATTTGTCCAAATGAGTTTAAAAATATTGGAGGACATATTGTGGTATGAATGAAATTAGGACATTTTCCAGAGAACAAAATGAGATTAGGGACGAAATGGGTTGAAAATTGTTAGACTAATTACAGATGACTCCTGGATCTTGTGTGTTGATAACTTGCCACAAGCTCAGCAAGTCAACCAGGTGAGGGACTCAGTGCTTAGTTGCCAAAGGAACCACTTCCACTCTCCATGTCAGTTCTCCAAAATAAGTTAAGAAATTGCTTGTAATGTTGTGAACAACCAATAAAAAAAAATAATTAAAAAAAAAAAAGAAATTGCTTTTACTTTACTGTTTGTTTTTTTTTTTTTAATGAGAAGAGGAAAGAAAATAATACAGGCAATTTCTGACTTGTGTCCTGTTATGGTTTCTGGATGTCCCCTAAAGGCTTATATGATGAAGACTTGGGTCCCCAATGCAACAGTATTGAGAAGTGGGGCTTTGGGGAAGCAATTGCATCTTGAGGGTTGTGACCTCAACAGTGGATTAGTCCGCTGAAGAATTAATAATCTGCGTAGACTATTGAGAGGTGGTGGAACCTAGTTGGAGGAGTGGTTCCTTGGGGCCTATATCTTTTCCCATCCCCTTTCTCTCTGCTTTCAGGCTGACATGAACTGAGCAGCTTTTCCTCCACCACACCCTTCCACCATGATGCTCTGCCTCACCTTGAGTCCATGGGCTGAAACTTCTGAAACCATGAGCCAAAATAAATCTTTCTTCCTCTAAGTGGTTTAGGTATTTGAGTCACAGTGATGAAAATCTGACTAATTCATCTACCCCAAACTCAACTATTCCATACACATTATAGTTATAAATTTTCCAACTTGGATTTTTATACTCTAAAGTCAGATTTCTGCACATTAGCTGATAAAGATTTTGAGCTATCACATATCCTTCAGTTTGACTTTAGCAGCATCACTATGCATTTTACTCTTCCATTCTGTCAAATGAAATGAAAATGAGCAAACTGTCTTGAGACCTAGAACAGCTGAGTGACTGGTCAAGTGCATGATCCAGTGCAGCCCTTTATCTTAAGTTTGTGGGTTTTTTAAAGAATCAGGGTTAGCTGGCTTGTGGGATGATACACTGTAATTCAGCCCCTATCCCAAGGAACACCTTCCATCTGGCTGCCCAAAGGTAGGGTGCCCACCACCCTCTTCTGACTGCAGGATTGTACCTGAGAGCTACATGTGGCCACTGCTGCTTGGTTTTATAAACCCAGACCAGTGACCTCCTGGGCAACAACTTTGCAATAACAATTCAGAACTCAGAAAAACATATATATTTACACTTTTTGAACACATTGTCATCTACAGTTATTAGTATCATTTGTGACACCTACTGTTTGGAGTTTCTGTTATCCACCAGGAACCATGCCATGGTTTCTCATTTTCATAAAGAAATTCTTTAATAAGCCCTGTTTTCTAATTTAAATAAAATGAAACAACTGAGCCTAAGGAGGAGGATGTTATTTGCCAGGGTCACAAACAAAGATAGTCATTGGCTGACCAGTTTGATCTGTGACAAAATTTTTCCAAAAGCACCATACCCCACTGCATCAGCATACAGATGTTTTACCATTTTAAGCCATTATCTTTCTATAGATATAATTTACATTTCCATGGTTTCTCATAAATGTTGAAAAGATTTTTAACGGTCTTACCCATAACCTTGTTAATATCTTCAAATATCATTTCTTGATCAATTTTGATTTTTCACCAAGGATTTCATTTTACCTTCTGATTTTCCAAATGGCACTTTTTCAGTATAGGCATCAGCGGGCAGATTTCACTCCACAGGTTTACACGAGTCTAAAAAGTTTGATCCATTGTGGCAATATCCTAATGTCTCAATTGTTAAAATATTCTACATCAGGTTTGTCCATGATTGGTGGGATTTATTATTTATTTAATGCAACTTTAGATAATCTGCAGTTTCTCTGTCAGCCATTGACTGGGGAAGGCCCTTCAGATGGACTTGTTCAGGCCCAAGTGTTGGTTGAAGCACTTGAACTGAGTTGGAGCAGATCCAGCCTTTCTACACCCAGGGCTGAGGCCCTAGACCAAACACACATTCTTTGTAGGCTTCAGGACAGACTAAATATTCCCAGTCCTTGGCCTTGCAGACAGAGCTAGAGCCACTAACTGCTCAGACCCCCAGCTTCCTCCTCTCTCAGGTGCAGGAGTAATTGTCTTGTTCACAGTGTTGTAGTAGGAATCAAATGAGCAAGTGCTGACTTTATAGACAGCAAAGTATATGTGCTTTAGTATTCTAGGCATGGTTCCCATTGTCTTAGTACTTAAGGGAAAAATGTATATTGATGTCAATACAATAGTCCCCTGCACCACCACCAATAGAAGCCTGAAAACTCAGATAGTACCCACCCTACATAGGTTATATTTTTTCCTATATGTACATACCTATAATGAAATTTAATTTATAAATTAGACAGTAATGGTTAACAGTAGCAAGGCATGGTGGCACATGTTTGTAATCCCAGTTACCTGGGAGGCCAAGGCAGCAGATTCCCAGGTTAAAGGTCAGTCTAGGCAACGTAGTGGCACCCTGTCCCAAAATTTTTATAAAGTGATGAGGATGTAACTCAGTGGTAGAGTGCTTGACTAGTATGCACAAGCCCCGGGTTCAATCTCCAGTACAACAATAATCCTCCCTTGCATCTTTCAGTAAAAGAACCTTCATTATTGCCTGGAGCTCCTTAAGGACACTGTGACAGAGCAAGGGAACAGATCTGCTGTGTTAAGTTACAATCTTAGGGAAAATTCTCAGGTTTCTCTTCTGTTCCTAGGGTTTTTTAGGATTCCTTTGTGCATTGAGCCCTTTAAGACCCAAACAGGGCTGGGGTTGTGGCTCAATGGTAGAGTGCTCGCCTGGCATGCATGAGGCACTGGGTTCGATCCTCAGCACCACATAAATGTAAAATAAAGATATTGTGTCCACCTAAAACTAAAAAATAAATATTAAAAAAAAAGACTCAGACATGTGGGGGACTGGGTCTGTGTTTACACTACAGCCTGAACAGTTTACATGTGCATGGCATTTTCCCCCTTTGACTCAGCAGATTTTATCATCCATAAACTAAAAGCTAATGGTATTCACACTGAAGCTCTCATTTGTTAAAGGCCAGCCTTTTTGTGCTCCTAAATGGAATGCCCACACCGCTTTTCTCCAAGAAGTCCCACATTCTGGAGCACAGACAGCAATCATCATTCTCGGCAGAGTAGCCACCAGTTTGCTATCTGGAAAAGTGCCTTGGTCTTCTGCACCTTACTCAGTTCATGAATATGAGCCTCAAAAAAAAAAAAAAAAAAGGACACCCCCTCACCCTAAATGACCTACATTTGTAGAGTGTGGGTCCCTGTTGTTAGATTGCTGTGAACCCCTTCCTGACCTCCCTTCCATCTCTGTCTGGGTATGTCAGCCACAATCCCTCTCTGGATGCGGCTTGTCTTCCTCACAGATGAAGGCTGTTTAATGACTCCTGCAAAAAGCAGTAGCTCTTACATGCTCACCATCTCCTGACTGGCTGATAAGAAAACAACCTTTATTGGGCTCCTCCCAGGATGCCAGTAGTTTGCTGTCATTATCTCACTTGATCTTTGAGACAGTCCCATAGGGTTGACATTTCACCTCTTATAGATAGGCAAGTGGATTTCAGAGAAGTGAGTTAAGTCCTTACCCAAAATTTAAGGTCAGGAGTGAGGGGCATGATCTGTCCTTCATGTCTGAGTGATCCTCCTACCTGGCTTTGAGAAGAGACTTTTCTTTTTGATTTGTAAAGTGCATGTCTGTATATTTGCATACTAAAAAACAACACAGGAACCAAAGGACTTCAATAACCACTTAAAGAAATGACATTTCTTTGTTGTTTTCCAGTAAGTAAAATTGGCCTGGATGTAGAAGGAGAAAACTGTGGAAATGCAGAAAAGCTGGCTGAATATATTTGTTCCAGTAAGTAGAAAAATATCACCCCAAATGAAGCCCATTTGTGTTGTTTTTGACCTTTCACAGCCATCACCGAGGGAAAAATACTCCTGGTGTGTTCTCAGTAGTAATGCTGATTGAYAATCAGCTTGTAAGCCACTCCCGACCATAACCTGCTATATGTGTCTGGCTGTACTAATTTGGGATTTAGTCCACTTCCTTCTACACCAAAGGACTGGAGACAACTTGAACATTACACATAATATAATATTTGACAACGGGAACAGCAGAGAGGCCATCTGTAACTTCTAAGACAGCAGAAGCTGCTGGTGCAGATGGAGACTTTTTTCCATCTTGTCCTTTCCCGTCCTCTGAGGTACTGCTTCCTTCTCTGAATTCCCTCCCACTAAAACTTGCTCTCAGGTGAAGAGCTGACTCTTTTAGTAAGCTCACTTTTGGGCAGCAGTAGGTAGACCTGGATTTAGAATGGGGCTGTTTCTAGGGATTTTTGCATTTATATGAGGATTAAACTTTAACTTTAGGCCTTTGAAGGATGGCGGGGCAAAGACTTTTGTAGTGTAAGGGATGGAGAGATTGGATGTGCACATATCCTTCCTCTAGATTGCACCTCCCTTTCTCTCTTCCCATGCATCTAATCCACCCGCAGACTCAGGTTTCGAAGCATGTCACGCAACCACAGGAGACTTAGAATTCTCTTGCCTTATATTTTTGAAGAGGAAGCCAGGGCCTTGCTCCTCAAGATCCTAGGCTGGCAGATGTCATCCGTTCAGAACTGGTGTCTCAGTTTGGCTACTGCTACTCCTGGGATCTCTCTCTACCCACAAGCTACTTCTGACACCAGCTATGTGAGGTTTTTCCTTATGCCAAACACCAGTTCTCTAACTCTCCAGATATGAGCTGGGCACTGCCCAAAGCTAGTGCAGACCCCACAGTTAAGGGCTCAGTCTTGCAAGACGGTCCAACTGGGCTACAGATCAGAGCTTCCCATAGCTCCCTTCTCAGGCTCAGTAACTTGCTAGAATTGACTCACAGAACTCAGGGGAACACTTACGTTAACGAGTCTGTTATAAAGTACGCAAGCATACCGGTAGACAGCCAGAAAAAGGGGCACATAAAGCAAAGACCAAACACAGGTGCTTCTTCCTGGCAAGGTTGGGGGACATTACCCTTCTGCATGTGGACGTGTTCCCTGGCCCCAGAGGCTCTCCAAACCCATAGTTAGTGGGTTATAAAGGTTCCACTGTGTAGGCCTCATTGTCAGTCATGGACCATTGGTGTTTGATTCAGTCCCTGGGCCCTTTCTCTTCCTTGGAGATCAGGGTGAGGGACTGAAAATCCTCTGATTACATGGTTGGCTCCTTTGGAACCAGCATCCATTCTGAAGCTGTCTGGGGCCACCCAGAGTCACCTCATTAGCTTGCTTTGGATAATGGAAGATACTCTTCTCACGCCCRTCACTCAGGAAGTTCCAAGGATTTTAAAAGCTGTGAACCAGGGTGAAGGCCAAATGCATATCTCCTATTACACCACAGTGACACAGAGGGGGTCCAAAAGAAGGTCAAGTAAAGAAAAGAGAGAACCAAAGGCAGGCTGCACTGTAGTTTGTGTTAGATGTTCTCCTGAGCTTGCAAAGTCCCTGCAGCCTGGCCAACTGGTTGGGCGCACCTTGGCATTTTGTGAGTAGTATCTCAAATTGTCTACTATTTTTGTTACTGAACCCAGGTTTGGAAGCTCATTATGGAAAAACTATCTCAGAGATGAGTGTTAGTGAGGAAGGCTTTGGTCAGTGGCCAAAGAATAGAAGAGGATCAACTCCTCTATTCCTGGGAGCTGAGTTACAGATACAGAAAAGGAATAATGGGGGAGAGAGAAAGAGACACTAATAAAGAAAAATAGGAGGAGATCTTCCAGCAACTGGGTGCCACCTCTTGTCACACCTTTCATGGTCTGATGTTTCCAGTCATGGTGGCTGGTATTGTCTTTAGCCTTGAAGTGGGGAGAGGGAGAGAGTCTAGGCAAATCTAAATCATGTTAACCCTATATTGGAGTTTTGGATGAAATATTTCTCAAGTGATCAAAGTGTTTACATTTGACTCAAAGGTTAAAACAGCAGAGGAGATAGACGAAATATAAAGGCAGAGATGCCAATTAACTGACACAGGCTTGGTAAACATTCTGCCCTTATCTTGGGTGATACTGGTCTGCATTCTTTGCAAAGCCTTTGTTAACTTCCTCTAATTTATCACCAGCATGTCTGGGCTTCACCTTGGTTTTATCAAAGCATTAATGATTTTCTCTTCCAACTTTGAAGACCAATTTCAAAAGCCAAAAAATTTACTTCCAATGCTGTGGTAAACAGTCTGATTCTTAGTTATTGTTTGTTTATTTTAACTATGATTTACCATGAGACAGGCACTATTGTAAGCATGTGAAACTGATAAATTATTTAATCTATTAATGTGTGGAAATCCTCTTTCTCTCCCAGGTCCTCTATTCTAATGGAAAAGCAATTATTACAAGTTAAATGGTAAAGTCTGGAGGACAGTTATAACTTGAAAAAGAAAGAAGAGGGAGAGTCAAAAGCATTACAGTTAGGCACGATGGCACACATCTGTAATCCCAGCAGCTTGAGAGCCTGAGTCAGGAGGATCGACAAGTTCAAAGCCAGCCTCAGAACTTAGTGAGGCCCTAAGCAACTTAGTGAGACCCTGTCTCAAAATAAAAAGGGCTGGAAATGTGGCTCAGTGGTTACTCACCCCTGGGTTCAATCCCGGTGCACTGCAGTTCATGTGGAATGTCCTCCTGGACTTGTAAAGACCTTGTAGCCAGGCAGGCTTGCTGGGCTCTTCTTCCGTGCCCTCAACTGATCTCTGTATCCCAATTATCTGTGATCCAGGGCCCAGTGATTGCACTCTCTTGGAGACCTGGAGATGATCTTAGTTTTACAGACAGGCACATTTTCTCTAGTGAGATGACATTATTAAAAAAAACCCATCACCTTTTGTTTGCTACCTTCAGCTTCATAACACTCTCCTAAATTTGCAGCATTGTTGCCCTTCAGCCCTGACAATCCAGAATGCCAGGCCTCTTTCCTGTGAGAGGAAGGGAGGGCAGACTTTGAACTGTACCAGTCACCATTCTGTGTTGGCATTCGCTATTGTGTTGGTCTCTTCAGATTGGAAACCAGCAGTTTACTATTGCATTGCCCTGTTTAGGTTGAAGACAAGTCCACAGGCCTTAAGCTTTTCCCAAAAAAGAATGGATGATCTTTGACTCCTCAAGGGGAACTAGCTCAGGAGATTTAACTGCAGCAGATGGCCCCTCCACAACAAAGAGTTTCCCCAGGACGTACTCAGGTCTTTCTATCATGTCAGTAGGGCCAGGCCTTTACAGTGAAGTCAGCTGAGCTGATTGGACCTGGGGGAGCCCTGAGTGCCTGCAAGCCAGACTCTGGGCCAGACACCTCTAGTGATGTGAGAGATATAAGCACTCACCTCAGGGATCCCTGCAGCCCAGCCTCCTGAGTGCCATGGAGGGACTTCCAGCCATCTAGGAATCAGAGGATAAGAATGAGCAGCTCAGTGCTCCAGTGGGCCCTCGGAGGAAATATGGCAGTGGGGAGATTCTTGAATCTTCTGAAGGTCCCTTGCATGCCTTTAGGGCTAGGCTTGCTGGAAAGTTAGACTTCGTGTTTTGCTACTGGATTCCCACTGCTGCTCCATGGAGAGCCGTAACCCCCAGCATCCTGCACCCACTGTCCCACCACACATAGACAGGGAGGAATGCCTGGGCCCAGGTTAAGAAAACAGCTCCTGAACATGGCATCTATGTGTGGGAAACATTTCTTCACACTGGAAAAGAGAACTCAGCAGGCATCTGTGGTCAATACCTAACAACTTCCTGATTCTTTTATGTTGGAACTGATATTTACGGAGTATCATAGATGAAGAAAACATCCAGCAGTAGGAAGCTGTTATAACATACTGTTATACATACTGTTACTTAGAGTAACATACATGTTCTAGTTGCTTAGCTGCTGCTTCATGGAGATGCTGCTGGGTGGGGAGAGCTTATTTTGCYCTACTCACCAAAAAACATGTGTTCAGGGAGACCCTAAGGATATAGAAAAAATATGTAATATCTGTGCATGACCAACACCCATTAAAATTTCTTGCATCTGGTATACAGATGTGGGGGGAAACAGTTGATTCTACCAAAATGCCTTTTTTTTTTTTCATATTTGGGGAAGATTCTGGTGTCTATAGCCCGTTAGTATTGTTGAATGGTAATGTTGCAGGTCAGCATTCAGATCGCCTGCTGTCATTGCTATTCTGCAAAGATTTTAGAGCTGAAAACGTCCTCAGTCTTTGCAAAATAGAGATGGGGTGGAGGGGTGTGGTGAGAGGCAGGGTCCTTCTGAGCATCTTGTCTCTAAACCCTTTGGGCATGTGGTCTTATGGCTGCTGGCATAGCTAGGAGAGCAGTGGACAGGAAGCCTGTCTTTGTTGGAAGTGGCTACAGCACCTTGACTGCCGGTTCCCTGCTGACCCATCCAAGGCCTCCTCTAGAAGTGGAAAATCATCTCAATGCCAACACCACTGATCCTTACCTTTCTGACTAAGGTAAATTGCAAACTTGCTTTCTAAACAGTGCCAACAGGCTGGGAGCCACTTCAGGACCAGCGGGAGCAGGAAGTATGTAGAATAGCAGCTTCTTTTCCTGAGGATGTTGGTTTTCTAAGCACCTTCACCACATACCTCTCATTATCTTCATATAATCGTCTTCAAGGTCAGCAAGGTAGCATTTGCTCTTCCCACTTACAGATGMCAGAACTGAGATCCAGAAGCAGAGCTGGTCCTGGAGACCTGGACACCTTCATCCTCCCAGGAGCTGCCCTCCCGGGCCCTGTGCACAGGCCTGCCCCCTGAATTTTTACAAAGTTTTTTAAAGTCTGGTTCTGTGTTTGCAGGAGAGTCACCAGCATTTCCTCTTCTCTTTCCCTGCGGAAACCTCAAAAGAGAAATCCTGCCAAAAATGCTGAAGGACAAAGGTGACTAAAGCACATTGGCCACATCACTGGGGATAGTGCCTTGAGACCAAGAGGTGCACATGGTCATGGAGAGGCAGAGCTGGGATGTAGCTGGAGCTCCTGACTCATAGTCTCTGCCAAGAGCTGTCCTTGGGCTTTGTTTCCTGGCATAAGCGTCCTATCTGTGTGGAATCCATGGAGTGGCCAGAGACAATCCTGTATTGTCAAACTTACACAAACATGGGAGCAAAAGCACCTGTGTGTACAAACAAAGGCTGTAGTTTCTGGGTCTTTATACTTTCTCGGCCTCCTCCATTGTGGGGGCTGCTCCTCAGTGTTCAGCAGGCTGCAGAGGACTAACTGGTCCTCTTGCCCTCAGTTCTGCCTCTCAGATTCTGAGCTCTTTGTTCCAGGAGGACTGTGCTGCACTGGGAGATTCCTACCAACTGCACACTGGGTGGTAGAGGTTCCACCGTGTTCCTAGGGCAGTAAAGTCTGTTTCCTTTTTTTTTTTTTTTTTTAATATTTTTTTAGCTGTAGATGGACATGATATCTTTTATTTATTTATCTATTTATTTGTTTGTTTGTTTGTTTGTGTTGTTGAGGATCAAACCCATGACCTCACACATGCAAGGCAAGCACTGTACCACTGAGCCAAAACCCCATCCCCTATTTGCTTGTTTTGATTGTGCCTAGGAATTCAGATGGAAAGCATAACTGTCTATCAGACGATTCCACACCCAGGAATCCAAGTGAACCTGGACAGCTACTATTCCAAGCAGGTATGTGGTATTTCCAGGGAGACACCTGGCAGGACAGCCCCCCACCCCGCCCCTGTGGTGAGAGTATAGGCTGAGTGGCATGAACTTGTAGATGCTGATTGTCTACATTGTTGCAATGTTCCCAGATAAGTGACTTTGAGGAAGTGGCCTTTCCAAGACTCCATTTTGGTCTGTGAAAGGAATAGACTTATCTAGTAAATTTGTGGAAGGATTAATAAGGAGATAATTAATAAGGAGATACTTAAGCAAACCTCTTTGTACAGCATTCAAGGTATATGCAAGCCTGAGGTGCATAATGGCCTTGATGTTGCCATTGATTTCCATCATGTGGGGGCAGAGGCTGAGCCCATGCTGGGAGGAGCCCTCTGTCGTGTCTGTACTGATTTTGGGAGGCCTAGGGCAGGAGAGTGGACAGCTCAGACTGAGTTGATTGATATCTTTACCATTTGTGTTCAGAAGACACCTCTGCTCTCCTCGGACAGGCTTCCTGATGCCTTGCCTGATTCTGGGGGTCCTGACAGGACAAACCAAATCAGAGACCATGCAGGCCATCTGCTCCATCTAGAGGAGAGGGAGAGGTGACAGTGAGTCAGCCTGACTCAGTGCCATTGGACCACAGGCCCTAGGGGCATTGTCCAGACTGCTGGGCCTGTGGGCTCTGTGGTGCCCGTGTTCTCTGGCCAGACACAGCCCTGAGGACCAGCAGAGCAACCAAGGGGCCCTGTTCACCAACCTGTCTGATCACAGCCTGCTCTTTGAACAGTTCCTTACCAGAATTCTGCCTCTGTGGGGCAGAAAAATCACAACATAACTGTGAACTACTCCTGTTTGAAGCTGCTGGATGCCTGTGCTTGGGGTGTTAGTGCTGATGGAGCTGGGGCAGGGGCATCGTCTCCCCTCAGTCTCTTGGCAAAGGATGGGTCTTGTTTCCTCTTCCCCCAGGGTGTCCCAGCCAGCATCACGTTCTTCAGTCCCTCCGGCCTTACTTACAGTCTCAAGCATATTCAAGAGTTGTCTGGTGACAGCATTGATCAAATTAAGGTATGGTTTTTCTATGGGCTTTTGAACTTTTTCCAAAGATTAGTATTTTGGGGATTTTTGTTTTTGTTTTTGTTTTTCCTTCTTTGCTGCTAGGATTGAATGGGTACTTTACCACTGAGATACATCCCTAGTCCTTTTTTTATTTTGAGACAGGGTATTGCTAAGATGCTGAGGGTCTCACTAAATTGCTAAGATTGGTCTTGAACTTGTCCTCCTGCCTCAGCCTCTGCAGTTGCTGGGGTTACATGTGTGTGCCACCAGGCCTGGCTTGTTTTGTTTTTGAATCTCCACTGATTGTGATAAGGTTTCCATATTAAGTCACAGCACCTTGGATAGGCCTAGCAGATGCCCATCAGAGAGCTCTGTAGAGTTAGGAAGGTAATACGGTTTTCTGGCTGGAGCTCTGCCAGGTTGCTAAAACTCTTTGAAACCAGGAGATAATTATCTCTTTGTGGCCTGTGTGGACATTATCTGTGTAGACATTGTTCTTCCCTGCATAGCACCAGTCCGGGACTAATGAGAGTTCAAGTGAAGTCCTTAGCTTGGTGCTGAGCTTAGGCTTGGTGCAACTTTTGGCATCCTTCCCTTCCCTTTTTCTTTCCCAGCTAGCCACTAGCCATTTTGAAATAGTTACCTATTCTTTTTTAAAAAATCCCTTTTTCATGTCTTTTAATGTTAAGGATTTCCATTCACACTTTTTTAGGGCTGGGGTTGTGGCTCAGTGATAGAGCACTTCCCTAGCATGTGTGAGGCACTGGGTTCGATTCTCAGCACCACCTATAAATGCATAAAATAAAGGTCCATTCACATTTTTTAGGGACTGTATTTGTTACAAATTCACAACTAATTGCAGCCCTGTGGTGTTTATAAAGGACCTGCTCTTGATTTGGCCCAAAGTGGGTTGAGGAAAGAGGCTACCAGCACCATTAAGTGCTCCCTGTCATCAGGGAAATGAGGAGCTTTATCTGCCTATCACAGGTGCATCTTCTATGGGGCTTCCAGACTACTTTTCCAGTTTCAAGGTGGTGTATTAGGGTCAGAGCTGTGCCCTGCCCTCCATCTCACCTCTAGGAAGAATCACAGTTGGAACCCAGGACGATGTGTTTCAGGCTATTAACTCAAGCTGTTTAGAGTGGGTTACTGCTGGCATCATCCATGGCAATACATCATGGTAGTCCCAGGGCTGCTGGGTGGTGGATGAAGCTCTTCCAGGTGTAGCTCAAGTGATTCTCAAGCCAGTCCAGGCCCAGGTATCCAGGAAGATTTGGGCAATTGTCCTCATCACAGGTAAGGAAACTAAGGCCCAAAGAAGCTGAACAATTTGCCCGACTCGTATCATGAATTACTAAGAGGCCCAAGACTCACATGTGGGTCCCTGAAAAGGGAAAAAAATTCCTAAGTTTTGCTGTTAGAAAGAGGAAAGCAAGAAGACCCAGAAAGTGCTCAGTTGGTAACTGGCACATAATGAGCACTTACGACATCGGAGTGGGCCAGTAGCTGTTCTGCGCTGGCGCAGTTCTAGTTCTCATCCCTCCATGCCATGCTGCTGCTCTCATGGACCCCGAAAATGACCCTGTCTGAGTCATGCCACGGCTTTGAGATCCTGGGCAACCTGAACAGAAAGGTGCCACAGAACTCACCCAGGCTCCTGAGGTTTGTCTGCTTCATGGGGAACCTGACGTTTCCATTCATACGTTTTTAGGGCTGGGGTTGTGGCTCAGTGGTAGAGCACTTCCCTAGCACTTCACCCTCTTTCTAAACAAACCTGTTTAAAAGCACAAATGGACCCTTGAAATCTCAAGTGAAACTCAAGCTGTTTAGAGTAGGTTACTGCTGGCATCATCCAAGACCACACAGCAGCTGGGGCCTGGTGAAGGTGCCTGACTTAGATTTGGCACAGCCCATTTCTCAGCCCCTCCAGACATCCTCCAGTTCTCAGCAACCACAGTCACCTTGCAGGTCAACATATCACGTACGAGTAGTTAGAAGCCACTGGGGCCATCAGCACTGCCAGTGCTGGGAAGGAGAAGTAACAGAGATGACATTGTCAACAGTTCCTGGGTTGTTCCTGAGCCATGAAGTCTGTGTGCATCTGTGGACTCCTKCATCACTAGGACTTAGCGCTGGCTCACAGGCACTGAGACCTGTGGGTTGGTGGCTTGGTCTTTCTGCCTCAGCTCGGCCCCAGATATGCAAGGTATTTTTCCTTTCTCCCGAGGAATCTTTGTGGGACCCATTGTTTGTATATAGCTCTGCACAAAATGTGGTCATCTCAAAAAGTCAAGAGGGTAACTTCTGGCCTGAATTCACTACTTACAGTGACTTGGGAAGACCATACACAGGTCTGTAAATGCCACAAAGGAGTAATTTCAGAGCAGTAGGTGAGCCTTTCATAACAACTACCACCAACAAACTAATCAGAGTGACTGCATTGCCTCCTTCCCGCATGCCCCTCACAGTTGACTCACACGCAGCCTGTGAGGTGGCCTCTGTGACTGAAGGTCGCAGGCTGGCGGTAGCAGAGCTGGTTGGGAAGCAGGCTGCTGACTGACACATGGAGCTGACTGACACACTCAGCTCCTATCAGTGGTCAGCGGTGGGAAGGAGCGTTAGCACTGGGCTTCCCAGGGCCAGTGTGGGAAGACTGCATCCCCCATAGGGTGCTGTCCTGTGACCACTGATGCACCCACAGAGGAAAAGAGCTCAGGTGGAAAAATCACTCTGCAACCCAACTGTTGGCCACTGTTGGCCACTCTTCTGTCACAGCTGCTCTGCTGAGATGTGTTGGCTGCTTGCTGGTTTCCAGTCTCAAGCAGTTTCTTTCTCCTTTCTTATGTTTTTAACCTCTTATTGAGATGTAATTAAAACCATAGCATTCACTACTTCACTAATTTAGTATGTGTACCTTCAAAGTGTACAAATCAGTGGTTTTGCTCTATACTGACTAAAGCTGAGCTGTGCCGTGCTGTCATTTGCTTACCCCTCATAGGCGTGACGTACCGAAAGGCGCTGGCTGAGGCTCTGTCTCTTCCCTCTTTGCAGTTTGCAGCTATTGGCCCCACCACAGCCCACGCTCTGACTGCCAAGGGCCTGCCTGTGAGCTGCACAGCAGAGAGCCCCACGCCTCAAGCGCTGGCTGCTGGCATCAGGAAGGCACTGCAGCCCCAAGGCTGCTGCTGAGTCAGCTGTGGCCCTGGCCCCATGTGGCCTTCTCCACCTGGCTTCTTCCCCATGGGGGAAGGCAACATCAGATAGCGGCTCTGGAGAAGCTGCCACCATCAAACTCCTACCTCATTCCTGAACGGAAGCACCTGGATGGGAGGTGGGGTCAGCCCGGGGCCAGTGTCAGGCCTCCTTGCATGTCATTGCCCTCCATGAAGTCCAGCTTGAAACCAGCCAGGTGCATGTGGTTCCTCGACTGTGCAAGAGCTTCCTGTGCCCAGCAGGAAGGAAATCAAATAAAGCACACTGGCTGCATGTGCCCACCAAGTGTGTGTCTCAACTCAACCTGTGTGGTTTTCAGTGCAAAGTTGTGTTCAGAGGGGGGAACAGATATGCCCACCTCCATTGACTGACAAGCCTGGTATTAATGATAAAATTTGCTGTGTATGAAAAAAAAAAAAAAAAAGACCTTCAAGTTCCTGCTTGTGAGCTGTGGTCAACTGGGATTCAAATAGAATTTTTTTCTTTTTTCATTCAGAAATGTAACTACAGCACTGCTCAGTTAGACCAGCTGGCCCCCTGGCATCTAGAGGCTGGATTTACTTAGAAATGTAGTGTCCCTAGAGAATCTATCTCCAAACTCTATTTCCACTCTTTAATACTGCCCTATATTTGAGCTGGGTTAAGGAGACCCACATTTGTTTTCTAATAGCCTATAGCGGAAAAGGTCACTATGCCCTTGGGATTCTTGTCTCCTTGAAAGATCAGGTTGGAATGATCTTATGCTGGGCACCTACCATGCCCCCAGGGAAGGGAAAGCTTTATGCCTGTGACAGTCTTCATAACAACCTTGGAGGGTGGGCATTGCTATCATTCCTACTTTTCTGGTGTAAAAACAAGCTCTTCAAGAGGTGAGAATACGTGTTCAAGGTCATAGCTAATAAATGATTAAAAAAAGACAAATTTAAAAGACATTTATGAATGCAGCACAAGGGCCAGGACATCTCCTGTGGTTCTCCAGATCTCTAGACCTCAGTGTGACTTGACACTTCACACTTGTGACTTGATACTTGACATGGTTTGAATGTGTCCCCACAGCTTAGTGTGTTAGGAGCGTGGTCCCCAGTATGATGGTGTGGGAGCTGATGGAACCTTCAAGAGCCAGGTCCTGGCAGGAGGTCCTTAGGTCACTGGGGTGTGCCCTCAAAAGGGGTTGCAGGACCCCACTCCCTCCCTGGCTTCCTGTCTTTGTTCCCCGCGTGGCTTCCCATCCCTGCCATTTGACTGAGGCAGTGTAGCATGAGGAGGTCCTCGTAAGAGCCTGGGCATGTGCTTGGACTTTTAGACTCCAGAACTGAGCTAAATAAACCTCTTTTATTTCTAAAGTTAGCCTGCCTCTAACATTTTGTCATATACACTTGTACAGAAATTTCTCAACAAAGGCACTGTAATGCCCCCTGGTTTTCTGCCCAGACATAGGCAGAACTGTCCCCCTTCCTGATTTGAAAGTCAAACCTAGAGTAAGTTTACAATCTTCCCTTTGTCAATGAACCCTTTTCTACAGAAGTTTCTGTTCTTGGGGAAGAACCCAGCTCCAGCAGTCCATGCTGAGGACTCTGGCAGCACTCTAAGGTCCCTCAGCCAAGGAAATCGAGGGACCAGACTCCAAGAGCCTCCATGATGCCACTTGGCATCCTTGGCTATGCAGGAGCCCACTGAGCCAAGGGCAGGCATCGAGGTCTTGAGGCTATTCTCCTGGTTTAATGTCCCCTTCTGGGACTAGAGATGGTGAAACCAACCTTAAAATATTGCAGATTTCAATGTGGCTCTACTCTACAGATAAGACAAGTCTATCACTTGTACCACAAAAGACTTACCCCGGGGATTGACGAATCCTGAACTGGATGAGATGAGGTCACGTGCAGGAGGTCAGAGCAGCACCAACTTGCCTGAAGAGCTTCTTTTTTCACTTTTGTTAGAAATACCGAGGTGCCACAAGAAATCACACACGCATTCAAAAGTGTACAACCCAGACAGCTGCAGCCTCCTGCTTCATGTTTCCTCCAGGACCAAAAAATTTTGTGACCTCATAATATTTCAAATAATTTCTTGGCCATACTCCCAAGCATGGCTTTCCAGGTGTCCCAACTTGGGCTGATTGGCCTTTCCCCCATGCCTCCTGCTGCCTATACTCAGCCACACTTGCCTGAGTGTGGCCATCCACAGCAGCACAAGGCAAACAGCATACACAGACACAAATAATTTTAAGGAACAAGACTCTTTAGGAATGAATTCCTCAAGTCTCCGATCTCTGTCTTAGTGCATTTGTGCTGCTATGACAAAATACCTTAGTAATTTTTAAATACTAAAAATTTAGAGTCTGGGAAATCCAAGATCAAGATGACAGCAAACTCAGTGTCTCATGGAGGCCTGGTCTCCTCTTCAAGATGGCCTTGAACTTTGTCCTCACATGCAGAAGGGATGGGAGGGCAAAGGACCAATGCCCGCTGAAGCCTCTTTATAAGCATAACAATCCATTCACATAGCAGAGCCCTTCTGGCCTAATGGCCCCTGAAAGGCCCCCCAGTTTGACACTTGCTTTGGGGGTTATGTTGCAATGTTTATTTAGGAGGGGACACAAACATTCAATCCACAGCAAGCCCTAGGAGAGACCATCCTATCCCCAGGAGGGATGGCTGTCATGCAGGGTTTAAGGTCTGACTTTGAGAAGCACAGACTTTGGCCAGAGCTAGCAAAGTGGGAAGGACTGCCAGCTCCATCTTCTCTGCTGGTCAGAACACAGCTCTGCATGGACCTTGGAGGTGTCCAAGCTCCTCACGAGCACCACTTCCCTTCCCAGTGTCACAGGTGTTGCCTTGCTGCTGAATTATCAAGTGTGAGACAAACAGATCCCCTGGCACTTAGTCCCCTTCCCCCTAAAGCCCCTGTCCTGGGCCCCGGTGAGGGTTCCTGGGCTGTAGAGCCATAAGAGCAACAAAGAAGGGTGCAGGGGGCCAGGAAGGTTCCACCTAGGAAACCCAGGCTCTACCCGTCTTAAAGCTCCACAGAGCTACTCAGGAGATTCCTTAAGACTTAGTCTCACTCCACCAAAAAGTTCCATGCAATTTAGAACAAAATCCAAACAGCTCCCCTGCCACACAGGTCTTTCCCCTGGACCATCCCCTGCTTTCCCTCCCTCCCCTCTGAGTTCCTTCCCCATCACTCAGGTCCAGCCACGCTGTCTCCTTCCTTCCCGAGTGCTACGGAATTGCCCAGCTGGTTCCCGTGCAGGGCCTTTGCTCCTGCTCCTTGCCTACAATGCAACCTTCAAGCCAGATCGAACAGGAACGCCTCCCTCCTGTCTCTGTGCTCAGATCTCATCTTTTCATGATGACTTCTGCCCTCCCGGATATTACTTCAGGCAGGAGAATGCAGTGCTCATCCACGTGCACATCGCCAGAGTGCTGAGATTCTCAGGTATCTGCAACTTGGGGAAGGAATTCCCTGAGGATGTGCAAACACAGGAGGATGAGGAGAGAGTTCTCATGCTAACAAGAAGGGTGGCCCTGGGGTCTTCAAAGGCAGCCTGCCAGGGCTGCTGAGAAGCCTCTCAGAGGGCACACTTCGAGACTGGGTGAGAAAGCTTGTTTGCTCATAAAAGCCTTCCAGGCCCTGCTCATTAAGGAGGAGAGACGGGGACAAAGCAAGACAAGAGGGCCAGAATCCAGGCTGGGCCATGCTGGCTTTCTCTGTCTTGTGTCCGACACTGTTGCTCAGCTGCCTGGCTGTCCCCTGGCCTGCCCAGGCAGAGACCCTCTTCCACAGCCGGGACCGCTCGGACCTGGAACCATCCCCGCTGCGCAGGGCCAAGCCCATCACTGACCTCCATGCTGCTCAGGTAGGAGAAAGACTCCAAGAGTAGCATCGTCCACATGCACATGATGTGTGGACACATGTCCACAGGCAGGGCTTGGCTGCAGGCCTTATGAGGAGCAGGATTTCCATGGTTCTAGCAGGACATGGCTCTGTGCTTAACCTGATGTTCACTATTGGTTTTTGCAGTGCTGGGCTAGATCCCAGGGCCCTGTGCATGCTCGGCAAGCACTCCACCACCAACCACGCCCTAACCCAACCTAATGTTGATTGACAACCCCTGGGTCAGCCTCTAGTCAGTGATTCATGTTGCCCTGTGCAAAAGAACCACAGACTTGAATATCATTGCTTTTCTAAATGCAAGCAAGGTAGTAAGAGGCTAAGGCACTGTTCGAAGAGCGCTCTCTGGAGAAAGGGGCAGCTCTAGCAAAGACGCCCTACTGCAAAATCTAGGATCCTCAGCAGAGCCATCTGAGGGTGGCATCCATTGACTCTGCTGGAGCTCCACCATGACCTGGGCAAAGGCTCTCATGAGATTTCTTCATGACATGGGTTGGACAGGGAGCGTGACCCTGCAGTCCTAGTGGTCACCATACTCCACAGCAGATGATCAGAATCTCCCACATTAAGCCCTGGATCTTGTGTACCTGAAGGTGGAGGGTCTTGAGAAGGGGGCTGGCTGGGTCTGCTGTGGCTGCCAGGACCAAGGGCTGCGGTGCTCCCTCCCCTCCCTGTGCTGGGGTGGAATTTGCCACTCCCAGGCCCCTCACTTGTAGTCTCTAGCACCTGGGCCAGACGCTGCAGCCTCCCCTACTTATATCCCATGACCTCGGTGCGCTTCCTCCAGTCCTGACCCCTCATCTCCCGACATGCCTCTCCTCCTACCATCCCCACTCCCACCCGGCCTGCTCCAATTCTGCCCCTCCTCAGGCCACACGGTGCCATGATTTCAGCCAGCCCAGCCAACCCCTTGCACACTGCCCTCACCTTCGGCTACTCTCTCCACGCCCTGTCTCCCCCTCTCTGTCTCTTTCTTCTCCCTCTATCTCCTTTCTGTCATATAGTCCCTGGTCAGGGCAGGCATGGGGCAGTGGGAAGGCCCTGTGGGTGGCAGCCCCTGGACTTGGGTGCATTTCTCTCCCACAGAAGTTCTTATCCAGATATGGCTGGTCGGAGGGGCCTTCAGCCTGGGGTCCCAGCCCCAAGGAGCCAGCAGCAGCCCCTGCGGGCCCCACCCTGGCCGAAGCTGTGCGCAGGTTCCAGAGAGTGAATGCGCTGCCGGCCAGTGGGAAGCTGGATGCAGCTACCCTGGAGGCCATGAACAGGCCTCGCTGTGGTGTCCCTGACACCCGGCTGCCAGCCCTGTCGACCCCTTCAGACCCACGGCCCAGGGCCCGATCAAAGCGATTCCTACAAATGCTGCTACCCAGGCCAGGTGGGCAGCAGGAGGACTCCTCAGACAGTGGGGCCATGAGGGCCTTCTCCAAAAAGACCCTGACCTGGAGACTGGTGGGCGAGGCCTACAGCAGCCAGCTCTCTGTGGACGAGCAGAGATACATCTTCAGACTGGCCTTCAGGATGTGGAGCGAGGTGACACCGCTGGACTTCCGGGAGGATCTCACTGCTCCTGGGGCCACAGTGGACATAAAACTGGGTTTTGGGAGAGGTAATAAGGGTGCAGGTTCAGGACCCCCCACGCTTCCTGCCCACTCTGCCAGCACACACCTTCGGCCTTTCCCTCTGGGGTCCTCACCTGCATGCTGGGCACTGGGCTTCCTGGAGTCCGTCCCACCCTGGTTGCCTCAGTCACCTGCAGAAAGGTGGTGCACCTGCTCTCCCTGGCTTGTTCTGAGGTGACACCCAACAGGGAGAGGCGGATGTAAGCCCTCTATTAATGTTACCATCTTAGAACTTACCAGAAAAGGGATGGACCTGTCACCTGGCAGGGCGCCTGGAGTGGTCACAGGGGACACGGAGGCCAGCCTGCTCCCCTCAGAGTATGTGGGCCCATGGGTGCAGGCCAGCGGTAGGAGCTTGCTCACCTGGAGCATTCAGTATGCCACCAAGACTCCACACACGAGCCCTCCCTGGTCCTGTGGAGAAGCCATGGGTATATAACATTGACCTGAGTAAGGAGATAGCCAGGGTCACCCACAGGTACCACCAACTCTTAGCTGGTAGATTTGGACAAATATCCTAACATCTCTGTGCCCCGTGTGTGAACCAGGGCAGCTCCTGGCTGTCCTGGTCCTGCTGAATCAGTGTCTCAGTGAGAGTGCATGGGGCACGGTTTGTTGAAAAAGCATATAAGGGACAGCGACCTTCAGGGACCTTCCAGCTGCCAGGACCCAGTTCCAGTGCCCTCCCCTCCGTGAGCACTTCAGACAGCACCCATCTCCCCGTCCCCACACTCCTCTCCCTGCTGCTCCCAGCTTTGGAACCTGCTCCTTTGCTACAGTCTGTACTTCATGAT